ACCATGTCACAAGCTTTAAAAGATATCTACGTCAATGGTGGAATATCAAGATAAGCAGGAACTGTCAGAGGGAATAACAATGTGTCCAGCTAAAGGAATTAATTATGAGTACGGAGTCCCTATTCTTATGTGCGTTACAGAAATAAACATAAGGAGTAACTCATTTTAATATCATTTGGAGAGTATTTTGGAGAGTGGGTGTGATATGATAATCCTAGCCAATGGGAACTAAGAACCCTCAATAAATGTTTTGGATATGCAAACCCCAAAATCACAATTTGTCTTCGTTCCAAATGATTGCAACTCTTGAAAATTTGATCTAACAATCTTATTGAAGAATAATACTATTAGATCTAAAATATCCAAGAACTTCAAATCGATAACAAATCACCCTATGGAAAAGTAAAGTCTAGATTACCTTGTTGATGAAATCACTCCAATAAATTTCTGTTGAGACTCAAATCATTCCGCAAGTAAGATCGATCGTATCAAGCTTAAATAATTCTAAACATGCAACCTAAACTAAATAAAATTACAGAGAAACTTAGTCCTTACCTAATTTAAAAAAAAAAAAAAAAAAAAAAAAAAACTCCTTTTTACTCCATTTTCCAAGTCTACTTTAAAAAGATAACATATACAGTTTTATATAGCCTCAAAATAAAACCCTTAACCTTCCCTCGGACATTTCAAGAGTTGTAACTTTCATACTTTATGACTATGATTAGCTACTACGTAAATATAACTTTTAAAGTATAAAAAGTTCTAAAATACATTAATAAAATATCCTAAGTCTTGGCAAAGAACATCTAGCTTCAATTTCTAAATGGCTGCGGAGATTCTCCAAAGAGCTTTGCCACGCTGCATTACTGAGAGCATGGAACTCGTGTCCACAGGGGGTTTACTTGTTACTGCAGATTTAGCAGCACGAGGTATCCCATGATTTCACATTACCAAGTGCAGGAACTTGTTTAGATTGTAGAATAAATTTCTAGAAGGATACTTAGAGAGCTCGACTAGTCTTTCACATACTCTTATCCTTGTTTATCAAGCGGATGATCTTAGAATGTGCTATATGTTTCTCATGTTTTATTTGGACATACAGACCTCCAAACATACAATTTCTTCTTTTTCGTTTCTAAATAATCGAAATATTTTGGATGAATCTAACCTCATGCTTGATATGAAAATCCTAGCAAGTTGAATCTAAGAATTCTCACAAGTCCAAGATATCCAAACGCTTAGTTCACTAATGCAAAAATCCCCGAATGAATTTGATTTCATTTCAAATGATGGCAAGAATTTGATCCAACTAACCTTATTCAAGAATAAGACCTTCAAATCTAAATATATCCAAGAACCTCAATCACCCTAAGAGAAAGTAAGACCTGAATTATGTTATTGATCGAATATCTCAAGACAAAAACGCTTCTTTGAAATTCGAATCACTCTAAACATGCAACCTAAACTACATAGAATTGCAAATAAACTTAGCATTGGCTAAAAGAAAGCATAAATGCTCTTTTTACTATATTTTTCAAGTCTACTTTCCAAAGATAACATAGGGATTATATAGCCTCAAAATGAAGAACTTTGACCTTCCATGAGGCATTTCAAGAGTGGTCTCACACTTTATAACCATAATTAGTCACTAGGTAAGTGTAACCTTAAAGTAAATAAAGTCTTATAATACATTAATAAAACACCATAACTCTAAATTATCATCCATCCAAAATTTAGGCTCAATGTCAATCTTCAAAGGTGCGCCCATTCATCTTTGATGATTTTATCATTCCAATAGTTTTGGAAGATGATTTGTATGGAAAACCAAGTTTTACAGATTCAACGGGTGCTACATTTTGGGAATTTATCTCGAAATAAATCATTCTGCTTTTCAGGAGGATGAATGTGTCGATGACAAAAGTTAAGACGATTTTTATCAGAATGATGGTTTCTTTGCTAATCTTTTTTTAGTAATAACTCTTTCAATATTCAAACCAAAGAGAGGAATTTCTTCCCTTGGATTTTCTAAGGAAGACTGACCAGTCTTCCCTTTCTTCCATATTTGACCCCGTAATGACGACTTCATTTCTTTTAAAACGAAAAATAAAGGAAAAGGAAATTTCCTTCGGGCAAATGATGTCGTAAAATCTATCAGTTTTATTCAATATTTTTCCTCTACCTTGGACCAATAATATATGCTACATTACTTGGACAAATTTTTACTAAATTTATTACAAACATCAGATGTACAATGTATTCAATTTGTTAATTTCCAGCCCAACGAAAAATTGATTATTCTCCCTTTATCCTAAATAATTTAATGCAGTGCCTAGGAACAACAAATTTACCCTTCTATCTAACGAACAAAATAAATTTTCAATTAGATGCTAAAGGTAAACGTTAGCAACAGATTCTAAAGTTGCATTTACACTAAAAGGCAATATTGGATTTTAGAGCAACAGGGGTCGACTACTCACCAATTGTAAAAGTTTGACCTTCGACCATATGTCCAGGTTCCTCATTGCCTGGCCATACCGAATAACAATGAGTTACAAAAAAAACAGACTATCATTTAGGTAAGATGCAAGCAAAAGGATCCCCCAAAAAGAAGAGAGGACTACTTACGGTGGTGATATATAAGTGGTTCAGAGTGAAATACAGATCCCACACCATGTCCAACAAAACGCTCCACCACCCCAAAGCCATATTTTTCAGCATGCTCACTGGTAATTGTGCATAGTAGATCATTAGGAACAGTGTAAATTGTAGAAAAATATCAATCCTTCAACGTAGCTCAGACAAAATTAACTGATGGCACATATACATCATAGTATAGAATTTTGGAACATTAGTATTTTTGTGGTCATTTTTTGAAATTCCTACTCAGTTCTTTTCTATGAATACTCTCCCTGTGATGTGAAAATTAAAAGGTGGTTTGTTATTTCTTTGTCTTGGAAATTTCCTGTTCTATACTTCATCATTTTACTAAAAGTACCCTATAAAAGAGCCTGTGTGTTTAGGATTCCTATCTCTGTTAGTACCCATAAAAACAAATTGAGAATATATGAAATACCTGATTCTCTTCCCAATTTTCTTAAAACTAGCACCATCCTTGCATACAGCAATACCTCTCTCGAGACATTCCTCTGTAACCTGAAACACCAAAAGAATATAAACAATAAAGGGGGAAAAGAAAAGAAATACCATAAAATAGAATACTAGGATAAGTATAGCACTGACATATGTACAGAAGATTGTTTCAGAAAAAGAGAGAAAGAAAGAAAGAAAGAAAGAAAGAAAGAAACTAGTACACAAGATATGAACAAGTTAGTCAAAGAAACTCTTTTCTTTCTTCTTTTTTTCTTTTTCTATTTTACATGAAACTGAGATATAATCAATAAGGAACATCCTAGGAGGCTGGGGTGAGGGGGCCCAAAAGCTATAAAAAAAAAAGGCAAACGATAAGCCTAGCAAAGAAGTCGTAAAGGTCGGTAATTGACAAACTATGAACAACCTTCACTATAAAGTCATTCATTATAAAATAACTTATTCTGAATTTTTTTTTTTTTTAAAAAAAAAAAAAAGTACCTTCACTAGACGCCTCATTCCGTCGCTTACATCTCCACAAAAATATGTCTTCGATGTGTCTCCATGATATCCCTAACATTTGAGGGGGGGAAGTTAGCCATCTCAGGAGAGAACTAACACATACGTACTGCATGTCAACTAACAAAAAGTCAATGAATTAGGGCAGGTATCGCATGGAATTGTGCATACAAATTTTTTAACGTAAGGAAATTCTCTGGGAACATGATACTATATGATTGGGAGATTTAACCCTAACTTGTACCGTACTTCATTTTGAAGTCCAACATATCAGGTTGCTATCCCTAGGAGGTGAAAGTAAGTTTTGCTCTGAGTATATATATGATACCCTTTTATATTCTTTTAGACTGGAACAATTACATCAATGTAAAAGAAACTATTTTTCAAGTTGAATACAACCTTTTGTCATAAAAAAGGATACTCTTAAAAAATTAAATTAAATCCATGATTCCACATTTTCCCTTCAACATTTAAAACCCCTTCTTGCATATAGGCCGTTCCTTGAAAATATTCTATGTAACTGGGACCCAAACATTTGATAAACAAATTTAACTTCAAGGATGAACAATTTTGTTTTAAGACATGTCCAAAGGTAAAAACGTATATCAGCGAGATGGTTTCAAACTTGCAAGATAAAATCAAAATCAGATCCAAAAAATAAAATCTATTAATTCCTAGAGGGGAAATTTTCTAAATTATGTGCTGACATGTGTTGTTTTTGATCTCAGGCTCAGGATCATAATATCATACACTTCTTCGTGACATCAACGATAAACTAAAACTGAAAAGGCTTTCCCCTACACACAACCTTATTACTAAAGCTAGAAGTAGTTACAAGAATCAAAACTTTTACCATCATTCCTTCAATGTTAATTAAACACTATTCTGAAAATCTTATTTATCAATGTGAGAAATTTCTTAATCCAAGATTTGAACCTCTTTGCTTGGTTTGGTTTGAAGGAAAACCCACTCAGGTTCATGTTATTATTTTGTTTTGGTATTATGGCTACTAAACAGTAGAGAAGTGGCTTGCATGAGGAGAATTTTTATTTCTTTTCTGGTAATGCTTCCACCAAAGCTTCTTTCAATGGGTTAATAGTTGTTGGCTGGTGATCTGTTTTTTGTTTTCTTTGAAAGGGTTGAAGTAGCTATCGATTTTCAGTGTTTGGTGGAGGCCTTATTCATAGTTTCATCATTCATTCGCAAGTTGATTGCACACATTATGAGTGTTATCCTTAGGACTGGATTTATGTTAATTTTGAGGTTGAAATGACGAGTTTCACGAGTATATTTGTCTATTTCTATAGGAACAAACTGAAGTGTTTGTGGAGAAAAATGAACTAATTGGAAATGATTTGGAGCTTTAAAATTGAGAGAAGAAGTCCTGCAGGCCGAACTCCGGAGAGGATAGCATTGAGATGCCCTCCCGAGAATGTTACAGTCAAGCTAATCTACCCGCACATGTGGTGTTGAGACACAACGTGCATGCGCATGGTTTGGAATTTTCTTCTGTAGCATTGAGATACTCCTTTGGGTGAGTATCTCAACACTACGATTTGGGCTCATGGAAATTAAGAAAAATTGGGACAGCATCAAGAGGTTGCTCCTAGCGTCTAGACAATGAGGTAAGTTTGCCTATATATTCAACATTTTTCAGCCGATTTTGGGAGATCCTTTTTGGAGAGAAAAATCCCTAAATCAATTTCTACTCAATGTTGAGGGCTAGAAGACATTTTGAAGAGAAGATCGTGGCACATCACATCGAGAACGACAATTGACACATGAGTGAGAGTTTTCTTTCTTTACCCTTTATTTTGTAGATCCAAAAGGGACGATGATGACTTCGTCTGATGCTGGCAATGCAACACCTGGAATTTTAAGAAAATAAATAAGACTTTTTTTCAAACAAAAAAAAAAAGAAGGAAGGAAGCAGAATGGCACGCGCGTAAGTTGGAAAAAATGACCGTACAGGCAACAGTTAGGGCATATTGAGGAATTTTGAAGAAATTTGGAATATCCTCGAAGACTCGAAACAAGCTCAGGAAGTCTACAATCAAGTAAGTAACCATATGGAGCAAGTTTCTAAGAAATACTTGTAGGAGTCAATTAGGATCAAGGGCAATGATCGAGTATTATGCTTAGGAGTCTAGTTTGACCCAGTCTCATAATAATTGTGCTTAGATAATGTAAAGAGTTTACCACTTAGTTCTATTTACAGTTATATAGCTTTCACACGCATGATTGTGAATTTCGATAGATCATTAGGCTTTTATGCTTTCTAGTATCCTGAGGTTGGATTATTATCATTTAATGAGCATGACGAGTATGTTGCATGCCTTTATACATTTATTATGCATGATTTAGAGTTTGGATATCCCGTTATTGCCCAGCTATGAGTTGAACTATCGCTATGTGCCATAGAGTACTAGTCATGGTTTCCATAGACTATGAGTTGGACTATCGCTATGTGTCATAGAGTACTAGTTATGGTTTCCATAGACTATGAGTTGGACTATCGCTATGTGCTATAGAGTACTAGTGATATGAACCAAGAGACATCCATCATACAATATACTTCAATGAAGATGTGAATAAAATATTCTTGAAATTATCAAAAGATATTTCAATTCATGCCACATTGAAGAAGAATGAAGTTTCATGTTATAAATTTTGGGTGGATTTCAATTTAGAGTTATTGTATTTCATTAATGTATTTTAAGACTTTTTATTTACTTTAGGTTACAATTACATAATGGTTAATTATGGCCCTAAAGTATGAAGGAAGGTTACAACTCTTGAATGTCTTTAATAGTTTCATTTATAGGCTATATAAAGCCATGTATGTTGTATTTGTAAGAAGACTTGGAAAATATAATTAAAGAAGCATTTGTGCTCTTCTTTAGCCAATGGCTAAGGTTCTTTGCAATTCTATGTAGTTTAGGTTGCATGTAGAATCATTCAAGCTCGACATGATCAATCTTGCTTGTGGAGTGATTCGAATCTCAAACAAGTGTTCTTGCATTGAGATATTTGATCAACAAGAATCATTCAAGCTAGACATGATCGATCTTGCTTGTAGAGTGATTCGAATCTCAAACAATGTTCTTGTCTTGAGATATTCGATCAACAAGGTAATCCGAATCTTATTCTCCTTGTATTGATTCCTTTTCTTATCAACTAGTTATGGTTTCCATAGACTATGAGTTAATGTCTTGCGTATTTTAGTCCTAGTACCTAGTCATGAGTTCCATAGTCTCCTTGAATTGACCAGTTACTTGTAGGGATGAATAGGGGGTTGCATCCCTATTCGTGAACTAACCAACAGAGGTTAGAGTCTACTTGTTACACATGGCTTAGTTGTTACCCATAGAGGATTTCAAGACTCATAGAGGGTATACTACTGAAGTACTATCGGTGGTGCCTAGTGGGGAGAGTCATGGTCTTTTTACTATTCCAGCCTGAGTGACGTAGTGACGGGTAGTTTCACTGTTCTAGCCTGAAAAGACGAAGTAATAAGTAGGTACTATACCTAAGACAAGTAGTTTTACTGTACTAACCCAAGAAGGGTACATGAGTAGGTAGTTTACCGTTCCAACTTAGAAAGGCATAGTGATATGTAGTTTACTGATCTTAGGAACAAGTAGATATTGTCCAGCACCACTAAGGAGAATCCACCACTAAGATGTTGTCCAACACCTCCAGACTTGTGAGTATTACCATGGGTCTTTCTATGGGCCATAGCGACTCGATGCGCACTTTGCGCAAGACAAACGAAGCACCAAGACATACGTGAAACCTAGAGCCAAGAGAGAAAACAAAAGATCCCTAGGTTGTAAACTGAGAGGGATTGAGTACTCCTTAAAGGAGGTATGTAGAGGGTTAGTTACAGTGACCTACAAACTCTAAATCACGCATAATAAATGTATAAAGGCATACAACATGCTCATCATGCGGCTAATGATCTACCAAAATTCACAATCATGCGTGTGTAAATAGAACTAAGTGGCTCTTCACTTTATCTGAGCACAATTATCATGAGACAATATCAAACTAGACTCCTAAGCATAATACTCCATCATTACCCTCGATCCTAATTGACTCCTACAAGTATTTCTTAGAAACTTACTCCATATGGTTACTTACTTGATTGTAGACTTCCTGAGCTTGTTTCGAGTCTTCGAGGATATTTCAAATTTCCTCAATATGCCCTAACCGTTGATTGTAAGATCATCTTTTCCAACTTGCGCGCTTGCCATCCTGCTTTCCTTCTTTCTCTCTTTTTTTTTTTTTTTTTTTTTTTGGGAAAAAAGTCTTTTATTTATTTTCGGGTTGTTACAAGCAATGACATGCGAGACGAGCAGATTCAACCTCGTCTACGATGAATTGCTAAGGATTAAACTTCTTCACTTTGATAGCAAAGGCAAATGGGATGTGCATGTACTTGACGGAAGAGTGATTGAGATGACAATTCAACCGTGCAGAGAAAGAGGGATAGTGAGACACGTTATTCTGGCGAAGGCTTGTCTTTGGAAGGAAGGTAAGTCCAATGACGATAGCAGCTAGGGTTTGGGAACAAACCTAGGGTTTGAAGAAATTCAAGGCTCTGATACCATGAAGATGTATGACATAAAGGTATTTCTTATGCATTGAGTGATGAGGAAATCTTTACATTTATAAAAGAGATTTCTCAATCAAAGAACTAGAATTAAGTAGTCAATCTAAACTTATTTGGAAAAAAATATACACCAAGTATACAAGGAAACATTCTTAGCAATTCCTAATTCCTAGAATATACAAAGGAACAATCTTAGCAATTCTTAATCCACAGCTGAATCAATTAAGCTTGATTTTTTACGATAGTTATGAACTTACAACTTCTTGGCTTATTGGCTTATGGTGTTTTTATTTTGTTCAGGCCATCGGTGTTTAATTAACTAAAACGATAGTTCAATTAATGAAATTAACTCCCTATGTTTTCTCCTCTTGAAGTTTTCCATTATTTATTAGTTATTTAGTTCCTTCATTCTCACCAATTCTATATGTCATCAATCATGTGGAGTGTGGACTCTAAATCACTGTACTAAAACTTGACACTGTTAAAAATATCACACAAGTTCTCTATGCCTTTCAAATGAAGATATTGGAGAAGTTCTTGGTTCTTAAATATTTATGGCTAATCTCTATAACATTGTTTTTTTTTTCTTTTTCTTTTTCACTCCCTAAGAGCTCGTATCCCTTGAACATTTATTCATTTTAATTTTATGAACGAGAAATTGTTTCTTGCTAAAAGAAAAAAAAACAACCGAAGTGACATTTTCATCATTACAATTTTTACTCTCCTTTATTTTTCCTCATTTATGAATTGGGAGTAACCATAGCTTCCAGAATATAGGTTTGCAGAATGTACGGAGTAAACTAAATCAAACATTTAAGGAGATTCCAGAGAAAAGAGGTGCTAAAACTTAAAAAGAGCACTGCCGCTATTGCGACAATGTTATATGTACGACAAGAAGCAGGAAAGATATATGGAGATGGACGGAAATCTAGAATGAGAAACAATTAAGAACATACATTTAGGTAGACCGTCACATCAATGTTTATTATATCACCATTCTGCACAAAAGAGTAATTGTTAGTAAAAACATGAAGTTTTTGTAACTATTTGATAAACAAAAAAATGGAACCTGTAATTGACGAGAGTCTGGTATTCCGTGACACATGCACTCATTAACTGATGTGCAAACACTCTTTGGAAATCCCCCGTAGCCAAGAGGTGATGGATAAGCACCAGCATCAATAATCATCTGATGCACTGCTTTGTCAATTTCATTTGTTGTTACTGACGGCTGAAACAAAAATATTGTGCCAAGAGAACTCAAAATGTCATTTAACATTTAACATCCACATCATCCTAATATGATGTCAAAAAAAAATTAAATCAGAAACAATTGAACACTATGAACAACCAGGGTTCCCATACCAATGTACTAGATGATAAAGCAACTGATATTGAATGTAGAAGCCAAAAACATACCCTAACTAGAGTTCCAGCATAGTCTAACACACGAGCGGCAAGCTGACATGCAGCCCTCATTTGAGCAATTCCTTCAGAATCATGCATTTGATACTCACTTGAAATTTCTGGCAGTATAGAAGAACCAACATAAGGAGGTTTTTGAATGTGTTCAGGCACAGGGAGACGTGGAGATACTTTCCCACGCCTCAATGGTGGTATCCTTCTAACTTTTCTCACAGTTTCAAGCTTTTGCTCTCTACATCATAAAATAAATAAACTATATAGGTAGCTACAATGAAATAATATGAAAATTACAATAAAAGCAATGAGCTTCAAGAAATGACATCGTCATCGCAATTTTTATTCATAATAAAAGGACCTGGGTAGCCACATAATGCACCTATAATTGAACTGTGATTAGGCATACTAAGACTGCTTCTTTAAATAAAATCAACAAATTTAAGAAAAATAGGACAAGAAAGTATGAATACACTATTTTTAGTAAGAAGTGGTATCAGACACCTTCAACAGTCAACACAAAGGCGTATGTGAACATGCAAGAAACAACTTAACTGAACTATCGGCAATTCATTGCAGGATTCTCAAAACACATAGGTCCCTTAACTGAACTACTGAAGGAAGACAACAAGTGAAATTGAAAGTTTTAAGCGTCCTATGATAACTTGAAGAAAGCCATGATGGAAGGGCTAGTGCTAGGAATCGCCAATGTACTGCGACCCTTCGAGGTCGAGACAGATGCCTCAAATCATGCTCTATGGGTGTCTTACTGCTAACATCTCTTTCTCAGAGATGGCATATTTCCTCTCTGCCTCATTTACAAGCCAGTAAATCTAAGTTGTCTTCTTAACAGGCTCTTGGCAAGATCGTGTGGCAGAATTTGACTTCTAGTTCGAGCATAAATCTAGGTGAGCAAACTAGGCCTGCCCTAAGCCGAAAGTATGAACATGCAACCCTGTGCATGTTGACTCACTTACAAGCCAGTAAGTTATGCGGGACAATGCAAGATGACAACAAGGAACATTTACTCAAGGACACAGCCACCCAAGCCATGATGCCATTATCTAGAGAGGGAAAACCCCGTCAGTTTTAGGTTGAGAATGACTTACTCTAAACCAAAGGCAACGGACTATATGTCCCAAGTTAAGGAAACTTAAAGAAGACTTCTACAGAAAAAATGTCATGACACCCCATGGGCAGTGGGTGGCAGCGAACCTACACCCTACTTAAACAGGGGTATTACTGGCTTAATCTTCGAGATGAAGTTATGCAATTCACAAAAACATATCTTATTTGCCAACAAGATAAAGTCGAAAGAACCAAGATTGCAGAACTGTTGGAGCCCCTTCCAGTCGCATCACGACCGTGGGAAAGTGCTCTCGACTTCATCACTCACTTCCCCAAAGTTGGGGAATTTGAGTCAATCATCGTGATTGTTGACAAATTTTCGAAGCACATCACACTCACTGTGACCCCCGGTCATGTCCCCCTGAGATGATAGCCCAACTGTTTTTCAAAAATATTGTCAAGCTATGAGGTGCGCCGACGAGCGTCATCAGCGATCGAGATGGACGATTCACTAGAACCTTCTAGACAAAATTGTTTAAGTTGTTGGATCAAAAATTTCTTCTAAGCTATCACCCCAAATAGATGGACATATCGAAAAGTTCAACTGTATTCTTGAAGAATTTTTGCGTCACTTAATCGAGAAACAGAGGATTTCATTTAGTGTCTCCGCGATCGCCCTCTGAACGATGCACAATAAAAAAAAGGGCCCAAATGTTTGATATTGTGCAGTTTGGCTTCAACTGCCAACAAAGTTTCTCGACTCAAAAGACCCCCTTTGAGGTAGTGTGGGGAGACGAGTCATTCATGCCTCATGTCATTGACCACCCATATGCTGGAAAGAGCATGCAAGCCTATAATTTCACCGAAGAGTGGAAACAAACTTTTGACTAAGAAAGAGCATCTTGATAGAGGAAGAAACGGGCATAATCAAAACGCATGCCACTAGAATTCTAAGCCAGTGACCAAGTTCTGATCAAGATGACGTTAATCTTCGAGAATTAACAAGGGTATTACTGGCTTAATCTTCGAGATGATATTATGCCATTCACGAAAACATATCTTATTTGCCAACGAGATAAAGTCGAAAAACCAAGATTGCAGGACTGTTGGAGCCCCTTCCAGTCCCATCACAACTGTGGGAAAGTGCTCTTGACTTCATCACTCGCTTCCCCAAAGTTGGGGAACTTGAGTCAATCCTCGTGATTGTTGACAAATTTTTGAAGTACGTTACACTGACTGCGACCCCCAGGTCGTGTCCCGCTGAGATGATAGCTCAACTATTTTTCAAAAATGTTGTCAACCTATGAGGTGTGCTGACGAGAATCATCAACGATCAAGATGGACGATTCACTAGAACCTTCAAGACAAAATTGTTTAAGTTGTTGGATCAAATTTAAATATTTCTTTAAGCTATCACCCCATATAGATGGACATACCGAAAAGTTCAACAATATTCTTGAAGAATTTTTGTGTCACTTCATCGAGAAAAATTGGGCCCAAATGTTTGATATTGTGCAGTTCAACTTCAATTGCCAACAAAGTTACTCGACCGGAAAGATGCCCTTTGAGGTAGTGTGCATGAGACAGTCATTCATGTCTCATGCCATTGACCACCCATATGTTGGAAAGAGCAGCCAGCCTATAACATCACCAAAGAGTGGAAACAAACTTCTGAAGTAACATGCGCTTACTTAGAAAGAGAATCTTAACCGATGAAGAAACGGGCATAATCGAAACGCCTGCCACTAGAATTCTAAGCTAGTGACCAAGTTTAGATCAACCTGCGACCAATACAAATTTGACTCCAGTACAATAGGGATCAACGACTTGAACGAAAAATATGAGGGTCTAGTCAAAGTCATTGAGAAGGTTAGCAAGACCTTATATAGGCTTCAATTACCTTCATGGATGAAAATTCATCGTACTATCCGTGTGAGTAATTCGAAACCATATCATTCTGATGAGGAAGACCACAAGCACAATAAAACGACACGACCTTCGATCACAATGAAGAATCCTATTGAGAAGGAAGTAGACGGGATGTTGACCGAGCGAATGCGTCGAGTCGGCAACCCGCATCAAAATGTATAAGAATTCTTGGTAAAGTAGAAGGAACTCCATGATGCTAAGATCAGTAGGGAACGTGTTGAAGACCTGAAATCTGCCACAAGTCACATTGTTGAGTTCAAGAGAAGACGGTTGACTGGGACGTCAACAAATTAAGTGGGGGAAGATGTCATGGTCATGCTTGTCCAAGGCGTGTTTCCCATGGCCACATGTCCACTTCTTGCAAAAGTCATGTCTACTCTTATGAAAGTTAATATGTCTCAAAATGTACTATAGGGAGATGCGAGTAGTCGTCAATTCTTCTTACCCAAGTTATATGTTATCAATGTCGTTGTTTTCCCTTATTTGCTTGCTAACCTAAAACACAGCTTTCTAAAATTTCTTTCAAAACGTTTTCCGAAATCTCTTTACCCATGTTTTTTCATAGCAGAGCTAAAGGCTTGAGTATACTTCGCCGGTGCGAACGGTGACCCAAATTTGAGTTGGTTGACTTACTCCTTGATGGGAGTGAGTGTCGCACAATCACTTTGCGAGGTCCATAGAAAGTGCAATCGTGAAACTTATTGAGTATTTTTATACTCATTCCTACTCTTCTTTGTTTACAGACGGATCATAAACAGCTGTACAACAGTGTGAGCATGCGGAGTTTAAATGTCTTGCATAAAAACTTTAACATCATCATAGGCTAAGAAGCATAAAAACTTTAGTTTGACTAGTATCTAGTGTGATCGTGTCTGACAAGTGTTAAGACACTTTAACACTCCCCACACTTTTTGCACATGTATCGAACACTTGTTAGCACAATCAATGTATAAGACACTAGTTGTACAAAATCACTATAAGCTCAACATTTGTCAAACATGTATTGAACATTTGTTAAATATACTAAACAAACACATAATAGACAAAAATAATAAGTTTTGAACGCAAAACAGATCAAACTCACTTTAAAGCATATAAATGCATAAATAAATTTATTACCTATGAATTTTGTTTCAAGGTATAAAATGATAAATATTTTAAAACATACATATTTTAATCAATATGCATTTCTCGTGTTTGTGACCTAGATTTTTTTTTAAAAGAAATCTATCTTCATGTCTATGTCGTGTCATGAGTATGTCGTATCCGAACTTTCTCAAAATCAATCTTGAAGACTTCCATCCTTCTTTTCCCTCTAATAGTTCTCAAAACTTTCATTAGCAATCAACATTTGATCTACGATTTTCCTACCAACAATAAAGCTCATTGAGAATTGAAAATGGTACTAGGAAGAATAGTCTACCTCTAATGAAGGTCGTTGAGAATCGAAAATGGTAATAGGAAGAACTTTCCTAAGCAGTTTTACCAATGATCTGTCAGACTCGTAATTAGGTTGACTGGCCTTAAAATCCTTCACCTGGTTTTCATTGTCTTTCTTGGGGATCAAGCACACATATCTCTCATTCATAGTAGCAAATCCTTCACCTGGTTTTCATTGTCTTTCTTGGGGATCAAGCACACATATCTCTCATTCATAGTAGCAACTATGACCCCCTCCCCCCCTGTAAAACTTGCTAAAGACTTTCCATAAATTCTCCTCTATGCACTCCAACTTTTCTAAAAGATGGTCATCATGAAACCTTAGGCCCCGGGGATTTGTTACTCTAAAAAAACCCAAAGACCACCTACCAGATTTCCACCATGGCGTAAACAAGGCTTCCAACTCTTCCCTCTCTCTATCAAAGATGGGACTCTAATCCAACCCATCCCAAAAAAGACCTAGGGGCCAGAAGGGGCATAGAGATTTGAAAAGAAAGAGATGATCTCCTCCTCAATCTCCCTATCTTCCTTCAAGATATCCCCATTGTCTAGAAAGTCAATCAGGTTCTTGTTTCTCCTCCCTCTAGCAAAACAACATGATCTCTAACCATTTAAACTAAAATTAATTTTAAAAAAATATCTTATGGTCTATTAGTGATTGTTGGTGCATCAGAAGTGACTCGACATTAGGTCGACATCTCAAGAATCTTTTGTAGGAAACAATACTTGTACTGGCAGTATGGGTTATCTCAATTAACTCATAAGTGACTTTTCTCTAAACGATGTTTGTCTTTCTTGTTTCTCATGGCCGAATACAAGGGGGGCAAGCAGTTCTCTATTCTATTGCTCAATTCCTTGGGGCAAATGATAGGTCAACTT